ACCACAAAAAGTTTACAGTTTGCTAGCTGCATATTTACAGTGGTTTCACATGAGCTACGTGTGTGGTTTGACTTACAGAGCCTCAGTAAAAATTTTATTAAGCAGTCCAGCGAGACGTCCAGCAATGTTTTCCTTTTGCTCAGAAAGCTCTTGTGCCTGGGATAGTATAACAGGCTAATCCTGCAGCCATAAAAACCCAACAAGGATCTGGTCCAAGTTATTCAGTAGGGTCTGCACTGAGTATGTAATTGCACCCCATAGTCTCCAGGTGTTTAATCTCAATTATTCTATTTCTCTGCTCATCCACAATATATGGTCAGAAGGAGGACTCTGCTCAAGATAAGCAAATCTGCATAACTGGATTCTAATTGTCTGTGAAGAAATATGTCACAACAAGAAAAGTCTGTTCCTATATATATAATGGTTCCTATATATATATTATGGCTCTGTTGACGTTTGCATTGTCTTTTAAGAGGCAAAATAAGTGCTTGACTAAAGATGGTCAACATATATTTATGGGTGTATAACTTGTTGTTGTTGTTCTTGTTATTGTTGTTGTTTGCCATCAAGTCAATTCTGACTTTTGGAGGCCCTTTTCAGGGTTTTCCAGGTAGAGATTACTCAGAAGTGGTTTATCATTCTCTTGTTCTGGGGGCATCCTGGGACTCTGCAGTTTGCCCAAGGCCACACAAGCTGGTTCTTATTTCTGGAGTCACCGTGGAGAATCAAACTCTCAGCCTTTGACTCTACAGCCAGATACTAACTCACAGCTGGTTCTTATTTCTGGCGTCACTATGGAGAATCAAACTCTCAGCCTTTTGCTCTACAGCCAGATATTAACTCACTGAGTCATCCTGCCATCACAATACCTAAACCACATATAAATTAGTCCTTTGGGGAGGTGAGTTAAACATTCTCAATCCACATCTTCCATTTACTCTTAAATTGTGCCTTCACCTCCCCACTGTTAAAATACACTGTTAAAATAGGTGGGGTCAAATCTTGGACAAGTGAGTTTTTGGACGAAAATTCCCTAAATCCCTGAGCCTGATCCAAATCCCACTGCTGTTACATATAGATTGGCCTAAAGAGGTTCCATGGCTTCCGAAGAAGTACTATTGCTATCTACACTGCAGCATTTGTAAGGATGGGAACATCAAAATCATGGTGACTCACAGCCTAGTCCTTCAGAAGACCTTTAAGGCCAAGTTTATATTCTTCTCCCCATATCTTTTCTGTTATCACCTGAGTAATTGTAGCATATTGTTGAATAACATGTCTGCTCTCCTTTTTGTGTGGCAGGGGGCAGTGCGGGCACTGCAATGTCTGTGGCGGTGAAAGCGGCCAAGCAGCTAAAAGAGGGTCAACGTTGTGTTGTCCTCTTACCTGACTCTGTGAGGAATTACATGTAAGAGACTGCCTTCTTTGATTTGTGCTTTTCCTCTCTGGTTTCCCATCACTTGAGAACATTCATTCTATATGGAGGAGGACGCATCTGTGTTGGTTAAAGAATTTTAGTTGCCACATTCATGTAGAGATAGAAAAGAAATTTGTACTAAGTCCTTTTAATAACAAATGCATTCAATTCTTGGTCTGCAACACTATTAAAAGCACACACATAACTTTTGGTTTCCCATTACTGGGAAAAAGTAATGAGTAGGAGGGTCTTTTTTCCCCTTCTTTTTGTATTTTCAATTTATATGCAAGTACAGATGAACAACTCACAATATGAAAAAGCCAAAATATGTATGTTTAGAAAATATGTTGAGCTGTCATACTTTCTGCAATTTGACATGTGCAACACTGGTGATCTTATCACTAGTGGCAAACTGCCACCGACTAAAGGTGAACTGCTGCTGATTAAAGACAATTCTGGGGTGCACATGATATAATGAAACAAAATTGTGTGCATCCTGAAATCCCCCAAGGAAGAAACAGTTGCTGTTGCTTGACATCATCATTGTTGTGCACCAAAGTATGCATGATTTTCCATGGGACAGCTCCCCCTCCCCCAGTCTAACAACTGCATACAGAACAAGAGGAAGAAGAAAATGGAAATAGGATACAGAGAAATGCAGTACATTTGAGACTGAAAGGGTCTCACATCCATCCTCTCACATCAGATTAGTAACAGCAGAGAAGTTGTCATAGAGATTATCTCTAGAGAAGCAGGATTTTTTTTGGCATTCCATCATTACCATGAATTAGTTTTATGGTGACCTCTTTCTATTGATATCAGATATCTGTAATTCTATAGAGGTAACCCAGCATTAGAATTAGTTGCAGTTAGATAAATGATACCTATAAAAAAGAGTGCTTTGTTGTGGTTAAATTATGTGGAAAGTACAGTATTGTAAATACAGTATTTTATTGCGCCTTCAGCGGAAGCAGAAGTTCATGATAGTTACAACTCATAGAGTTCACAAAAGACTGATAAAGCTAGGATTTTCTAGAATGGGTCATAGGGTCTAATCCTGAACTACATTTACAAGGAAATGAATCCCATGAACATGGAGAACCGCTGAACATATAGATTGGGGTGAGAAACATTTGGCCCTCCAGATGTTTTTGACTTGAACTCCCAGAAGTTCCAGCCATCATAGTCATTAATGCAACATGTCATTCAAAACATCTGGAGGGAGAAAAATGACAGTGATGGGACTACAGTGTTAATTTTTGGTGTCCAACAAGGTTATTTAAAGGAGCTTACATTTTAGAAATTCAGTGGCCTGCCACAATTCCAGTTCTTCTACAGATTTTTTTTTCATAACATATATTTATTAGTCATTCAGTAACCGGCCTTCTGGGCAACATATCACTTATCAATTTAAAACACAGAGTCCATAAAATACAATTGAATTACACAATCAAAATCATACGCACAATAAAGGAACTCAAACCAAGACAGAGAAATCAACTGATTCTAGAGAGCTCAATAAAAGCAACATAAAAGGAGAGCCTAAAGTTCTAATACTAATAATTAAATGGTGTTAAAAGTAAAAGCCTTAGGAAAAAATATATTTTCTTGACGCTGGGTGTTATCATGCACATCCTTTTCATTTGGTCCTTTAACATTAATCACAAAAACTTTATGTTTTGACTTTCTAGCGATCCAGATATATTCAAATTAATAGGGTGTCACTGATTACACTATTTTTGTACACATCTTTCCTGGTTGTTTAGTTCTTTTTTCCTTATTAATGCAGCATATGGTAGTATTTTTTTTGTTTCATACAACCCGCTTCTCACCTTTACTGCCAGCCTCTTCATAAACAATTAATTTCCTCCATTTCAGCTGTGCAGTGAGCCTTTTTTGTCTAATGTAGTTTCCTATCTGCAACTGATTGAAAGGTTATGGCTACTCTGAAAGTCATAAAATAGATTAGCCCTATGATGGTTGTCAGAATGAAGCACCAAAGCCTAACACTGTGTATTTGTTCATTATCTCCAGGTCCAAGTTTTTGAATGACAAATGGATGGTCCAGAATGGATTTTTAAAAGATGCTCAAGAACATCATCCTTGGTATGACTCAGAATCAGTTTAACAGTTATGTTTTCCAAACATGCATACACATATGCAAACAGAATAATCAGGATGGTGGAGCACTGAGAAGTCACATGATGGTTTATGCATTTGTTTAGAGAGACCCTATGTTGCATGTACACCTTCACGGACTGCTGCCTTGTTGTGATGAAGGGGCTTGAGTAATTCAGAAAAGCTATGGGCTATGCCATGCAGGGACACCCAAGACTGGGTCCATTCTGTACTATCCATAGTGGAGAGTTCTGACTAAATGCTGGAGCAGGAACTGGCAAGCAATTCCAGTATCTTTGCCAAGAAAACCCCATGAACAGAAACAAAAGAATAAAAGATATGACGCTGGAAGATGAGCCCCTCAGGTCGGAAGGCATCCAACATGCTACTGAGGAAGAGCGGAGGACAAGTACAAGTAGCTCCAGAGCTAATGAAGTAGTTGGGCCAAAGCTGAAAGGACGCTCAGCTGTGAACACATCTGGAAGTGAAAGGAAAGTCCGATGCTGCAAAGAAAAATACTGCATAGGAACCTGGAATGTAAAATCTATGAACCTTGGTAAGTTGGATGTGGTCAAACAGCAGATGGCAAGAATAAACATTGACATCCTGGGCGTCAGTGAACTAAAATGGATGGGAATGGGCAAATTCAATTCAGACGATTATCATATCTACTATTGTGGGCAAGAATCCCATAGAAGAAATGGAGTAGCCCTCACAGTCAACAAAAGAGTGGGAAAAGCTGTACTGGGAAACAATCTCAAAAATGATCGAATGATTTCAATACAAATCCAAGGCAGACCTTTCAACATCACAGTAATCCTGGTTTATGCACCAACCACTCATGCTGAAGAGGCTGAAGCTGACCAGTTCTATGAAGACCTACAACACCTTCCAGAACTGACTCCAAAGAAAGATGTTCTTCTAATTATACGGGACTGGAATGCTAAAGTAGGGAGCCAAGAGATAAAAGGAACAACAGGTAAGTTTGGCCTTGGAGTTCAAAACAAAGCAGGGCACAGGCTAATAGAGTTTTGTCAAGAGAACAAGCTGGTCATCACAAACACTCTTTTCCAACAACACAAGAGGCGACACATGGACATCACCAGATGGGCAATATCGAAATCAGATTGATTATGTTTTCTGCAGCCAAAGATGGAGAAGCTCTATACAGTCAGCAAAAACAAGACCTGGAGTTGATTGTGGCTCTGATCATCATTATAGCAAAACTCAAGCTTAAACTGAAAAAAGTAGGAAAAACCACTGGGCTAGTCAGGTATAATCTAAACCAAATCCCTTATGAATACACAGTGGAAGTGAAGAACAGATTT